CCAGGGAATGGTGGTTATTGATACAAGTGAGGGGGGAGAGAGTGGGGCTTCGTCCACTTCGGGACGCTCTCTTGTTGGGAAAGGAGGTGACCCCGAGGCGAGGGCCTACATCTTGGGGAGCGCGTCGGAGTGCACACGCGGCGGGCGCCTTTCTTCCCTCCCCACGCCCTGAGTCAGCTCTTCGCCGCCGGGGCGAGGGCCGGGCCCCGCTGGCCCAGTTGAGGGTGAAACGTGTCCCTGGCACCTCGCGGGGACCGCCCTTCGTCCCGGAGCTGGTCGGGACTTCCACCCACGGGGGATGGCTTCAGTGGGCTTGAACAGACGCGAGAGGCGAGTGCCTGAAGTCCTTCCCTGCATACTTAGTTTGCTGTCAGGACAGTGCAACCCCACGTTATGCGGCAAAGAGATCTCCAACCGCTGGTCATTTCCAGCCACTGTGTCTCCTTCACGCTAAAGGGCCAAAAACTTGAGCGTGACAGTTGAGTAGAATTATTAGTTTTTAAAAATAAGTTGAGGTATTACATTTTTCTCAGAATTCCAAGGAATCACATGTTAGTAGGAATCTGCCTTAATGCTCTATGCTCCCTATAACAACAATAATAAGATAATGATTCATTCATTCAGCAAATATTTATTGGGCCCCTTTGTTTTCAGGCCCTGCACCTAGTTGCATCATATATTCTCCCAGGATCCCTGTAGAGTCTTTTGGGAAAAGGCTTACCCAGGTCCTGATGAAGAAACAAGGCACAGTGAACTTCAGGTTAAAGAGCTTCATCACCAAATTCACAGAGAAAACTAAGACTAATATTTTTCTTTAGAAAAGTGTTAAGTATCTAAAGATATATTTAATATTATCTGACAAATCTTAATAAGACTGTACTTCCCTGGTTCATTTTTCCCATCACCACAAAATCATTTAAACTACCTGTTTGAAAAGCAGTGCCTTAAAAAAAAAAAGCTTGCTTTAATTAATCTATGGGGGAAAATTACCATTGGAATACTTAAAAATGGATAAATAATAATTACCATTGAGGGCCAGGCACTTTATTATCTCAGTTAATCTTTTTTTTTTTTTTTTGGACTCACTCTAACTCTGTTGCCCAGGCTGGAGTGCAGTGGCATCATTGCAGCTCACTGCAGCCTCTAACTCCTGGGCTCAAGTGATTCTCCTGCCTCAGCCTTTCAAGTAGCTGGGACTACAGGCATGGGCTACCACACCCAGCTAATTTTTCTAGTTTTAGTAGAGATAGAGTCTCGCTCTTGCTCAGGCTGGTCTTGAACTCCTAAACTCAAGGGAACCTCCAGCCTTGGCCTCCCAGAGTGCTGGGATTACAGGTGTGAGCCCCCACACCCAGTCCCTCTCAGTTAATCTTTACAAATTGTTATTCCCATTTTTCCAAGGTGGAAGCCGGAAGTCCACAGTCCCTGTCCAGACTCTAGCTATGCTGTGTCTTTCTTTGTTCACCCTTCCTCCCTTACTTAGCCGAAGTGAAGATGAATGTTTTCCAGCTTCTACCATGGCAGGCTTACAAATCCCTTTTGTAATTATTGGTTAATGATTCTCACTGTCTTACCTGACCCCCAAATTAGTAGTTACTTGTTTCTTAGGCTTCATTACCCTTGCAAACTATTAAATTGGATATTTAGAATTGTAAATACCAAATCATTTACAGCACTTCAAATGAATGGTCAGTCTTTTTCGTCTAGAAAAACTTGCAGTTAGTTCACTTTGAGAGCCCTGCTGGGTCACACAAACAGACTGTTCAGATACCAGGCAACTCCTCTCTGGTTTTGAAGTTTTACGATCATGTAAACATTCACAATCTCAAGTATATTGGTTTGAGGGTCCATCTCTACCGCCACCATTGAATGGCCTATTTCGTTTCCCTCCTTTCACTTTTGCCATCTCCAATTCATTATCCCTTAGCAGCTAGAGTGGTCCCCAAGAGTACAGATTTTTTTTTTTTTTTTTT